CACAAGAAAAAGAGCTTGATGGGGGAGGGTGAAAACAAAGATTAAATATTCTTTACAAAGACAACTGAATCAATTACCCTACATGGAAAATAGGGTATGTGACAGAAAGAATTACCACAATGACCATGAATTTTCTAAACCCCAACAAACTTTGGTAATCTTCACTTTCTCTTTTGGGCCAAGAATATGAACTCTTATGTGCTATGAAAAGGTGGAACTCAATATTAAGCTAAGTGCTGAGATACAAAGTCATAATGCCAAGGTGTGGAGAAAGCCCAAACTAAGAAACCTGCCTCTGTCATTTCCAAAATTTGCAACCGATAAAACACATAAAGAAAAGGTTGAGAATTGAGTTGCAGTGACAGTTTGCCATGTCACTGCACAGCAACAAAAAAGCCGTACACACTATGCAGGTGGTAAAAAGTAGAATATATCCGGTATAGGGCAAATATATGTCACATTAATAATCTCATTTCATGTTATAATGCTGTTAAATCAACCAAACTAAGAAAGACCTAGGATAATTGATAGACTTAAAGATCCCACACTCTTTGAAACTGGTGTGTATTAACAACAAAGAGACTGACAACCTGGTCTCCCATTTCTGGCCAGAGTAAATAAATCTAAATTTGGACTATTCAAAAAGGATAAGTCTGCAAAGGTTGGTTCAGGAGCTTTCTAATTCACTTGAGACTGGTCTGTATCTAGTCTCAGCTGCTCATGAAAAAAATGCTTCAACTTGGGAACAGTGAGAAGGCACTAGGACTCTTAGTGCTGTTCCACAGATAATGACCATCTTATAATTACTTTGTACCTCACAAATCTCAAGTACTAAGTGCAGAAATCTCCTTCATATTCCCCCAACTCCAATGGCATGGGTGAGACAGTCGTATCTCAATGATTCTTGACAAGGAAGACCCAGTGCAGATAACTCAAATTCTCAGCGAATCTGTTCCCAACATCTAGAAAGACTCAGGCCACAGCCCCAACTTACTGAGCAAGAAGAGGCCCTGGAGTTTAAGTCCCAGGAAAAAATGAAGTTCTTTCCATTCACTTTCAGAGAAGGGATTGTTTCTCCATTAGCTTATTTCTGGTTTGTTTCCTGAAAAAAAATCTTCCCTCCACTAAACACTCCGAAAACTAAAACCCCTCCCAATTGGGGAGAACACTTTTCAGGACACCAAGATCTCTTAGACACAGTCAGCCCGGCATCGACTTACTCTGTCCGGGCTGGCCACAAAGGGCCTTCCTTCTATCACCAAGGCACTGAGCTCACCTCTGCCTAGGAAGAGGGCAGTAAAAGTATTTTGGAAAAATGCCCAAGAAAGGAAAAAGCTGACCGGTTTCCTGAAGGGTGTCTCCATCCCTCCCGGCCTGTATATGGTGACTTCCTACCAAAGGCCACCAGTGGAGCACAGCCAAACCCGGCTCTCCAACATTGCAGAAAATGTTTGAAGCCTAAAAAGCCACTCGTAGGATTATCGGATTCATTCTGGGCACTGCTGCCAAATGATGCCCCCGCAGTGCCAACATCCCCCTCAGCTCTTTGTCCCCACGTTGCCCGGCCCTGCCCTTGTGCCTGGCCCGGGCGCTAGCCCCACCCTGGGGCCAAAGCAGTTCCCCTTCCCCTGGGCTGTCCTCCCAAGTCACACCCAGACGCCTGGGTCAGCGGCTCCTCCTCCCCCACGCACTCCCGCAGGTCAGTGGGAACCAGCCCCGACAGCAAGCCGCCCCCTGCCACGATCACTCCAGCCCTTTACCCACGCCCCTCGTGGGGGTCAGCTCGCGAGGAGCAGCTGGCCAGGCTGGAGAGTTCCACGGCCCTCTCCCCCGCCCGGGGCCTCCCGTCCTGTCCGTCCCTCACCGGGCGGAGGCTGGGCGGGCGACGGTGGCACCGGTGGGCGCGGGCCGCTGCTGTTGATGATGTAGTGGGAGACGCGTGAGTTCTCGGAAACGCTGAGCACATAGTCCCCGGGGCTGGTGCTCGAGTCCCGCACCAGGAACACCCCGTGCCGCTGGCCCTGCAACAGCGTCACCGCCTCCTGCCGGCTCAACCGCCCCCAGTACCAGCTACTCCTCTCCTCTGAGTCGAAGTTGCCCGCCATGGCCGCCTCGGTGCCTACACGCTGGGCCGCCGCCGCCGCGCGCGCCCCTCCAGCCCCGCCGCCCGCCGCCCAGCGGACCAGCTCGGATCTCAGGCTAGCAGCAGCGCCCGAAATGGCGGCGGCGGCCGCGGGCCTTCCCGACCGGAAATGACGCGCTCTCTGCCCCCAGGAGGATGCCGGGAAAGGGACCACCGCCCGCCATTGGGAGAAGGGCATAGGACAGCTCGCGCATGTACTGCGCATGCGGCCTCATGGGCGTCGCCGCCTGGCGGGAACCGGGACTGCAGAAGATGGAGAGGCGGGGTCTAGGGCCCTGGGGCAGGGCCTCAGCCAGCAGTCGGCGGAGGTTTGCATCTGCGCTGCCGACCACGCGGTTCTTCGCTCCACCAGGCTTCAAGTTTCTGAACGGCCCAGGACTTCAAGGTAGCGACTCCTAGACAATTGAAATAGAAAAGATGATATAGCTCCAAGACCTGAGCTACCTGAGAAGGTCTTTTTATGACGATTCCTCCAGTGTCTCCCTCCCCAGGCCACCTAAAGCTCTTGTTTTCAATGATTCATTCAGCAGTTATTGACACATTTGCCCTGTGGATGCAAAGGTGATCGCGGCTGAGTTCTTTCCTCACCGAATTCCCAGATTAGAGGGAGGAACCAGGAAACAGTCCAGAGGAATGTAAAATGCTAACGAATAGGGAACAGACATGGGCCCTAGGAACACAGAGCAGCACTCCCTAATCCAGTCTGTAAAGAGATGCAGGAGGGCTTCCCAGAGGAGGTGGCATGTACTGCAAGGATGTTGAATGACAAATGGGGAGGAAGGCCCTGGTCGGTTTGGCTCAGCGGTTAGAGCGTCAGCCTGCGGTCCAGAGAGTCCTGGGTTCGGTTCCCTCTAAGGGCATGTACCTCGCTTGCAGTTTGTCCCCCGCCCTGGTTGGGGTTATGTGGGTGGCAGCCACTCGATGTATCTCTTTCACGTGGATGCTTCTCTCTCTCTCTCTCTCCCTCCTACTCTATCTGAATAAAATATGCAAAAATGTCCTCAGGTGAGGATTAAAAAAAAAAAAAAAAAAGACAAAGGAAACAGAATGTGCCAAGCCAGGTAGAAGTATGGAGTTCTCTGTATTGAAGCTCATCTAGCCCTGGCCGGTTTGGCTCAGCGGTTAGAGCGTCGGCCTGCGGTCCGGAGAGACCCGGGTTCGGTTCCCGCTAAGGGCACGTACTTCGGTTGCAGTTTGTCCCCGGCCCTGGTTGGTTGTGCGGGTGGCAGCCACTCGATGTGTCCCTTTCACATCGATGTTTCTCTCTCTCTCTCTCTCTTCCTCTCTCTCCCTCCCACTCTATCTGTACAAAAAATGGAGAAATGTCCTCGGGTGAGGATTAAAAAAAAAAAAAAAAAAAAAAAATGAAGCTCATCTGCCCAGATTCTTCTAAACCCTACTTGTGGCCATAGGTATCCTCTACTCTCCCTACCTTCATGATCATCTCTATCTCTGTATTCCACATCTGTATCTGTGTTTTTGTGAACAGACTGTTCAGTGGTACTCTATTGTCTTGTTGCCCCTAATTGCATTGTACACATCTGTCATTGTGCTGTTTCTAAATTACAACCCTGAAACTGTTGCTACCCTGTGTAAAACTTTTAACAATTTCCAGGTGTTAAAACTTCCAGTTCAGCTCACAGCATAAAACTGGACCACATGCCCAGCCAGTGTGGCTCAGTGGTTGAGCGTCAACCCATGCACCAAGAGGTCACATGCCCAGATTGTGGGACCAATCCCCAGTGGGGGGCATGCAGGAGGCGACTATTTGATGTTCTCTGTCATTGATGTTTCTATCTCTCTCTCCTTCTCCCTTCCTCTCTAAAATTAATAAAGGGGAAAAACAAAAACAAAACTGGACCACAGTCTCATCTTAACTACTGCTACATAAACCTTGTGTTTCTTCTTTCTGGAATGCCCTTCTACTCCTTTTTGGATCTCAAACTCAAATGCCTCCCCTCTCCAGACCACCACATCACATCGTCTCTGCATGGACAGCACTATGTTCCTATTATCTCCATTACAATTCTTCCCAGTGTACTGTAACCTTTCATTTACAGGTCTGTCTCTGTCCCACACTAAAGGCCAACCATCTTGTGTAGGAGGCACTCCATAAATGTTTCTTAATAACAACTAACATTTTGTTATTTTTTTATCCTCACCCGAGGACATTTTTGCATTTATCTTCAGATAGAGCAGGAGAGAGAGAGGGAAGAAGAGAGAGAAACATCGAAATGAGAGAGACACATCGAGTGGCTGCCACCCACACGACCCCAACTGAGGCCAGGGACAAACTGCAACCCAGGTACGTGCCCTAAGGTACGTGCCCTTAGCGGGAGCTGAACCCAGGACTCTCCAGTCCGCAAACCAACACTCTAACCGCTGAGCCAAACCGGCCAGGGCACAGCTAACATTTACTCAGGGACTACTACCTTTCAGGAATAGTGCTGCTTTTATGTGGATCATCTTATTTATGAGTTGGTGTTTTACAACTATCCCCATTTACAGATGAAGCTCAGAGAGCTTAAGTAACTTGTCCAAAGACACAAAGTTGCTGAGATTCAAATCCTGGAAGGAGCCCTGGCCGATTTGGTTCAGCGGCTGGAGCGTCGGCCTGCAGACCAGAGAGTCTGGGGTTCAGTTCCCACTAGGGGCACATACCAAAAATAAATAAATAAACAAACAAACAAACAAATCCTGGAAGAAGAAGAGAGCTATGATCACTCTACTATATTCTCAGACACCTGGGATAGGAATGGTGGAGGTGGCAGGTAGGGAGAGGATAGCAGAAATAGACCAAAAAAAAAAAAATCAGTCAGGAGCTTGGTGCTCTGGTACAGAACACAGGGAAAGGGTCATGGGGACAAAGCAGGTGGTGGGACACAGCCTTGTTGCTGTTAGCCTGATCATCTTCACCTACTACACTGCCAGGGTGATTCAGCCAGCGTGTCATCCACAGCATGTTTCCTGACCTGAGCTGATGCCACTGGCATCCCACTAGCTGCTGGCCTCCTGCTGCTTCTGTTTGCGGGAGTGTTTATTACCTATGTGATGCTGAAGAACCAGAAGGTGATCATAAAGGCCAGGTGAGCCCGGCTGGAGTGGCTCAGTTGGTTGACTATCATCCCAGTCACATGCACCAAAAGGTTGCTGGTTCTGTTCTGGGTCAGGGTATATGCCAGGGTTCTGGGCTTAATCCCCAGTAGGGGATGTACAGGAGGCAGTTTATCTCTCTTTCTCCCTCTCCCTTCCTCTCTCTCTAGAAATCAATAAAAATACTAAAAGCAAACAAAGCAACAAAACACACACACACACACACACACACAAACCCAGCAGGGATGAGGCTGCCAAAACCTTCTCTGCCTCCCCTCCAGGGCATACCAAGGGTGGGACCCAGGGGACCTGTCCAGGCACTGCAGCCCCCTCAAGCACAGCTGCTCTGCAGACACCCTTGGGGATGGAGCTGTTCAGGACTCACCCCTCACTGACCAGAACCCCTACTCCTCCCCTGCTGCCTCTTCCAGAGCCAGGAGGAAGTACCTGGAAGTCTCCCCCTCTTCCCCTTCTGGCTCAGGGCCTGAAAGATGCTGGTCTTCCCTATCTTGCCTTCAGAACTCCTGTCACTTTTTCTTCTGGGTTCCACCCTCTTGCCTCCTGTCACGTGCTGATGTTGGAACGGTAGGTTCTGAGATATTACGAGCCTCTCCCCACATGTCCTTTTCCTCCACAAATGCAGCTTTCCCAGGCTCTGACGTAGCCTGGGACCCCGCAGGACTTCTGGAAAGCCTAGGGGGATGACTGACAGGCCTTAGGACCACCAGCAGGCCTCAGGGCACATTAAGAGGGTCACACCAGCCCTGGCCGGTTTGGTTCAGCAGTTAGAGCGTTGGCCCGCAGACCAGAGAGTCCCAGGTTCGGTTCCCGCTAAGGGCACGTACCTCGGTTGCAGTTTGTCCCTGGCCCTAGTTGGGGTCGTGTGGGTGGCAACCAATTGATGTGTCTCTCTCCGTCTCTTTTGCGTGATGTTTCTCTCTCTTCTTCCTTCTCTCCCTCCTGCTCTGTCTGAAGATACGTGCAAAAATGTCCTCTGGGTCCCGCCCGTGTAGCTCAGTGGTTGAGCATCGACACATGCACCAAGAGGTTGCCAGTTCAATTCCTGGTCAGGACACATGCCCAGATTGTGGGCCCAATCCCCAGTGGGGGGCATACAGTAAGCGGCCAGTCAATGTTCTCTCTCATCGATGTTTCTATTTTTCTCTCCCTCTCACCTCTTCCCTCTCTCTAAAATCAATAAAGGAAAAAAAAAATTTAAAAAAAATGGTCAGCCCTGGCCGATCTGGCTCAGTGATTGGAGCGTCGGCCTGCAGTCCGGAGAGACCTGGGTTCGGTTCCTGCTAGGGGCGTGTACCTCGGTTGCGGTTTGTCCCTGGCCCTGGTTGGTCGTGTGGGTGGCGGCCACTCAATGTGTCCCTTTCACATCGATGTTTCACTCTCTCTCTCTTCCTTTCTCTCCCTCCCACTCTATCTGAACAAAAAAAATGGAAAAATGTCCTCCAGGGAGGATAAAAAAAAAAAAGATGGTCACATGGGGATGGTTACACATTAAGATGGCCCCCAGACCTACTTCTCATTTAGGCTCAGCCCCTCAGCCCTAGCACTGGCCTACTGGGGAAAGCTGAACAATAAACATTGATAGTTGTGAAAAAAACATAAATAAATAAGTCAGCCTCGGGTTATGGTCTTACAGGAATAACACACCTTCCAGACCTACTTCACATACCCCTGGGCCTTCTCTGGGAAGGGGAGGGGAGCAAGGGCAACTTCCCTGCTGTGGATGACTCATCGAGGTGACCCTGGCTTAGTCACAGCATGTCACCACAAGCCAGCAGCAGAAGCCACCTCAGTGTTAATTCTTCCCTCTGGAAAGCGAAGACCCTGCCCCTCATTTCCCCCCAAGATGGCCCAGCTTTGAGTCAGGACCTTACCCTAAAACTGCCTGTGGGGTTCTGAAGCTGGGCCTTTAAGCCCTGTCCCTAGGGCACATGGGCGTACAGGAGGAGGGAATACTTTAAAAGAAGAAAAAGAAGGAAAGAAACAGAGAGAACGAACGAGGAAGGAAAGAAGAAAGGAAGGGAGAGAGAGAGAGAACAAATCATAACTGAGCTGGAAAATAAGCAAGAATATTGGCAAGGAGGGGAGGCCCAGCCCCAAACGCTACTCAGGTGTGCTCCCCCTTGGAGCACAGAGAATCTACTAATTCAGAGGACAACAAAGTCGGAACAGAAGTGGCCTTGGGACAAGAAGAAGGCAAGCCCACCCTTCTTTCTCTTTTCTTCCTCCTCCTTTCCCCTTCATATGTCAGGATTTGCAGCCATAATGGTGGCTTTTGCTCCACCCAACCCAACTTCCCAGATAAGCCTGAGACCTGCCCCACAAAGAATGTGACCTGCCCTAGCTGGGTGCGCAGTCCGAGCGCAGTCCTGAAATACCAAGGTTTCCGGTTCCATCCCCCGCCGGGGCACATGCAAGGAGCAACCAATGAATACATAAACAAATGGAGCAACAAATTGATCTCTCTCTCTTTCAGATCAATCAATAAAAAATAAAATAGAATAAAAAAGAATGTGACCTTCCTCCTTAGGAAGGGCTCCTGGTATTGGGGGTGGAGACAGGGAAGGTACCTGAAGGAGCAGAGGTGAAAGAGGGTAAAAAAGGGAAGGCTGCCCTGTTCAAGAGAAAAGCACACCGAAGTTCTTTACTCCGATCCTGAGGAAAGAAAGACGTTCCTTATTTTAGCAGTGGAGGAGGAGCAGGGAGGTCAATGACCTGCCTGCCTGCTCTGCACCACCTAACAGCACAGAGCTTCTGCATTCAGCTGTGCGGGCTGTGCCCTACACAACTCCCAGGTTCTTCATGAATGGAACCCTCTGGAACTGGGCTACTCACACCTGCTTTTCCTTTTCCTTTTTTTTTTTAAATTTGCTTTTCTTTCTTTGTTGACTTTTAGAGAGGGAGGAAGGGAGAGGGAGAGAGAGAGACAGAAACATCGATGAGAGAGAACATCGAGTGACAGCCTCCTCCATGCCCCCCACTGGGAATCAGCTCACCACCTGGGCATGTGTCCTGACTGGGAATCAAACTGGCGACCTCTTGGTGCATGGATCGACACTCAACCTCTGAGCCACGCTAGCCAGACATCACTTTTCCTTTTCCATAAACAAAACAAAACAAAAAACCCCAGCAGCCCTGGCTGGTGTTGCTCAGTGGTTAGAGTGTTGGCCTGCTCACTGAAAGGTCGCAGGTTCAATTCCCAGTCAAGGGCACATACATGGGTTATAGGTTCAATCCCTGGCCCTGGTTGGGGACTGTGCAGGAGGCAGCCAATCGAAGTGTCTCTTTCACATTGATGTATCTCTCCCCCCCCCCCCACCCGCCCCTCCCTTCCACTCTCTCTAAAAATCTTGGAAAAGGCAAACAGAAAGATGATTTGTATCACGATGACAAAAATTTTCATTTAGATAGAAAACTGACAGTAGCACCTTCTGAAGCGTGTGATAAAGAGAGAAAAGGTGGGTGAGTGTGTGTAGGCACAGTTTGCATTTGTGGAAAACACGTCTGCCCTGTTCTCATTCACACATGGAAATGGAGAAAGGGAGAAAGACAGAAATTTCCAAGTTTCTGCTGGAGCTTCTGGGCTGTGAAAAAGAGAGGTGCCCCACCTCCAGTGGGTAGCCCTTCATTTTGCAGAGACAAGGACCAGTCTTAAAATGTGCAAAGATAGGATCTGGAAGCAGACACCAGGGGAAGGCTCTGGGGAGAAATGTGAGAGGCCTCCGTGGAGGGTCGAGGGGAGGAGAGTGTGCTGGGAACCCAGGCAGGAGGCCAGACCTTCCTGGAAAGGTCAGAGATGTTCCCAGCAGCGACATGCTGTAGGACTGTTGAGAACGAGTTGCCTGCTTTGCTTCAAAGTGAACCCCTCGTTGCCCTCATGCTTTAGGGGAGCTGCTCACACAGATGCTTTTGTGGGGAAGGAGCAGGTACCAGCTTTCAAGACTCCACCCTCAAGGAGCTGAGGAAAGCAAGAGCATCTGCAGGAGGTGAGATGTAAATCCTCCTGTCTTCTCTCCCTCTCCTCCCCTGCTCTCTCCTCTCCAGCCCGCTGACCTTCCTCTTTCTCTGACTAGCCTCCATGCTCCGCGCTGGCTGTTCCTTCTGCTGGATGTCCAGTCACTGCCTCACCCCTGCTGTCCAGTGTTGCCCCCCTCCCAGGGAGGCCTTCCCTCACAGTCCATCTGAAACTTCAAAGTGCAGGCCCAACTCTCCCTCTCCCCCTTCTCTGCTTTGTTGTTGTTGTTATTATTATTATTATTGATTTTAGAGAGAGGAAAGGAGAGAAAGAAATATGGATCAGTTGCCTCCCAAATGTGCTCTGACTCAGGATCCAACTAACTGAGCCACACCAGCCAGAGCATTTTTTTTTTCCATTCTTTATTCAGATAGAGTGGGAGGGATAGAGAGGAAGAGAGAGAGAGAGAGAGAAACATCAACATGAAAGGGACACATCGAGTGGCTGCCACCCGCACGACCAACCAGGGCCGGGGACAAACTGCAACCGAGGTATATGCCCTTAGCGGGAACCAAACCCGGGTCTCTCTGGACCGCAGGCCGACGCTCTAACCGCTGAGCCAAACCAGCCAGGGCCAGAGTATTTTGTCGTTGTTGTTAATCCTCACCCGAGGATATTTTTTCCATTGATTTTTAGAGAGAGTGGAAGGGAGGGAGGGGGAGAGAGACAGACAGAGAGAGAGAAGCATTGATGTGAGAGAGACACATCAGTCGGTTGCTTCCCGCATGCACCCTGACTGGGGCTGGGATCAAATCTACAACCCAGGTATGTGCCCTTGACCAGGAAGCGAACCTTTGACCCTTAGGTACATGGGCTGACACTCCAACCAGTGAGCCACACCAGCCAAGGGTTTCTTTCTTTCTTTTTTATTTTTCCGATAAGAGAGCTTTTATTTAGAAAGCCACATTCTATTAGTAGAATAAAGGGGCTCAGGAGGTGGCGGTGGGGTGAAGAGGGGGAGAGA